TGTTTTGAAACATTACAAAATGATTTTGTAGACTTAATAAAAGATGTATATGATTATTGTTAAGTCTATAAACCAAGAAAATAATATTTTCACAAATACAATAGAAAATGAAACCTATGAGTATGTATATGAAAATATATTTGTTTCATATCTAAGTAGATAAACCAAATCACAATAATAAATATGAAACATGGCATATTCTATGCAATGTTTTCAAAAACACAATAGTAAATATGAAATATGTGATTTCATATTATAAATATGAAAACCCAAAACCATGCATGTATATATATAACTATATATATACATAGAAACCAAATACGTGTGTGTATATTATATTGAGCTTAGAGTACTTAACACACATAATATAAATCCTAAACTACATTACCCAAGCAATCTTGATCTTCAACGAAGCTCTTCTAGGTAATCTCTCGGATGAAGCTTTAACTTGGATCTTGAACTTTGAATAGCAAGGCTTCACCGATATTCCGCCAACCTCCTTTGGATATCATCGTTGAAGCTCTATTCCATCCATCCTCCAACAACATTGTTTGTCTACAATAAATACGAAAACACAAATACTAGACAAACAACATTAGTGGTAAATTGTTTGTTAAACATCATCAAAACAAGAAGGCCAACACCTTGGGCTTACCCTGATAAGGGGCCAATGTCTTTGTTGCCGACTGAGGAGTCGTTGTACCTTGGGCTTATCCTGAGGAGGAACCAAGGTCTTGACCATGATGGTCGATTAGAGCAGGAGGAATCAACCACCAGTTGTGCCCCACGGTGGGCGCCAAACTATTGATGTTCGATATCACATAGCTGTAGGGTGAAAATTTGATTCTTCCGAAGAAAGGAGTTTCGTTTGTATTTATAAGAAAGCTTATTACAAACTAACAAATCAAATGTTTACAACAGAAGCAGAGGGAAGGCCCTCTTTGTTTTGTGTGGGGACTTTAGGTGGCTATAGGACGCTTCGCTCGATGGTCGGGTCGAGTCTGCTTCCCTTGGACCGTTTGAATGAGGTTGCTGGAGAGCTTCAGTTCGCGGTAGAAGCTCAGGGCAATGGAGTTCGGGTCTGCTTGGTTCGTCGGCGATCGGAGCCCGGAACTAGGCAGCAGTGCTGTAATGCCAGGATTTGCTAACAGCTTGGTCTCAACTCTTTTTTCTCCGAGTTTTGCGACCTCTCTTCCATCGTGCTGGAAGGGGTTTTTAAATGAAAGAAGGACAGCTTGACTTCTCCTTGAATTGTGGGATGTGACCACATCCTCTTCAGAGACGTCTCGCCGTTCCTCGATACCATGAACGGTCATTCCAGGGATTGTGCTCTATGTCCTGTCACCTACGATGGGAAGGCCCATTCTTGTATGTGAGGCAACAAACGACTGCTATCCGAGTGGATTTGACCAGCATTAATGAACCGCATTTATGAGTTCGCAGATCGATGAAGTGTCTGTCCGATCACTTGTACTGTGCGTGACCGCCCGGCGTGCTTTGAGCACGATGCTTTCTCCTTTCCGGCCAGGAGAGGCGGTGAAGTAGGTACACAGTACTCGAGTGGGTCTAGCCAGCTTGCCGAGTGCCGGCGGATCCAGCTCTTGGCTCAGACATCCGAGGTGAGTCGCATTTATGAATGCTCAGGTTGACTCGACACCTGTCCAGTCCCTTCGCGCTGTGCGCACTGCGAGCGGCCGTTTGACGGTCCTGGGGTACTGTGCTCTCTCTCCCTTCGGGTCGAGAGAGATGGGAAGGTCCATCTCAGCACGTGGGGTAGTGGATACCCAGCTGTACTGACGGTTTTGGGGCTTGCTGGCGGATTCGACTCCGCACTCGGGCAGGCGAGTTGAGCGAAGAGCGAATTTCTGCCATGCTGATCGACCCTGACTCATGCTGGCGAGTCGACCGTTAGGCGAACCTGGACTTGAGTACAGTCGACGTCTACGCGGTTTAGGTCCGTGCCAGAGAATTGGGCGTGCGAACTCTTCTCGTAGGCAAATTTCCTGTAGACCCATAGAGGTATTTTTTACCGTCTACAATAGCCAATGAGAACTATCCGCCGATAGATGCAGTTTAGATCTTCGCGCTTATGACGAAGAGGGAGAGGATCAAAGATGGGGCCAACTCCTCCTCTGACTTTATGCCTGATTCTTAGAGCTCGGGATGGACTGATGACCTGCACATGCGAGAATCGTGGGAGGACCGGGCTTGTTTCCCCCGTGGTTCCTCCGATGGTCAAGTCAGCTGGTGAGCTTGAGGGATGCTTTAGGGAGAGTCCCTGAGCCATTAAGGTCCTTGCAGAGAGTACTCTCTTAGAGTTATTAGTTTTCTTTTATGTAAAGAATAGATCAAGAGGGAGAAATAATCCCCAAAGTCTAGTGAAGAAGATGAAAAAAGATCCAGCCTCTTAGTAGAGTCAAAGTTAAAAAAGAGAGAAGCCCTTTTTTCTTACCCTCCTTCCTCCTTTTTATAGTCTTTTGCCCCTGAGATTCTAACCCTTGACTATGCACATGAGGGCAGTAGTAGGGTGAGCAGATAGGTTGATGAGTCATCCTCCACTTTACAGATGTCGGCTACTGACTGGAGGGGAAGTCATTCGAGCACAGGAGAGGATGTCTCCAACATATCCCGGATTTGACAGATAAGGTATGACAGAAGATAGGCTGGCCGCTTAGTCATTCTTTGCTTTGCAGATGTTAGCTGGCGACTGGAAGAGAAGTCATTCGAGCATAGGAGAGGATATCTTAGTGATATCTGGGAAATAACTTGTGAGCAGAGTAAGCTGTTTATACCTAAGATTTATCAGGGTTGAGATCTTTGATGGGATCAATCAATAATGTAGTGTCGATTGATGTATATCTAAAGGGAGCTGAGTTGGATTTTATCCCCTTAGTAGAGACGGGTTGGTTTTCGATTCGTCCCTATGATTTGCTGACCGGATAGTTGAGTGAGCTTCTGGCCGAGGAGGCAGGCGAGTAGATGATCGAGCTGACTATTTGAGGAGTCGTCTCGATTTATGAATGGTCGACTAATCCTGCACTTCGCATCGGTAGAGATGACTCGTTTGCTCGGCGGGTTAATAGACTCGTCCTTGGCTAGTCTTTGGTCGCTAAACTGGTTTGGGCCATAGCTCTTTTGGGCCTATGAAGATATAATTTCTCGATATTTTTATCTTTTGATGGTGAATTACCATAACAGAAATCCTTTCTCGCTTCTCCAAATATTCTAATCCACCTTCCTCCAAAGAAAATCTCCAAAACATACCAAGAGATTAAATTAATGAGAAAAGAATGATGATATATAAAAATCGGATAAAAATGATGGTCACAAGAGAGATTGAAGTGACTGAGTTTAGTAAGGAAAGAGACCTTGAAGGATTCAACTTCATTAATGGAAACCGATATGTAAGAGAGAATATGGTGGTAAGCAATACAAGCTTATATGATAAACATTTACTCTAACTTTGTTAAATATCCTAGGTATATTTTTAAAGAAATATCAACTTCAAAATATTCAATAAAACACGAGTTAACCTTGTTAGGACCGTATTCATGCAATCAACTTAGTTTGATAAGTAATAAAATTTCATATTGCTCTAATATTTGTTTGTGATATTGTATGCATGTTATAAGAAGTTAGAATAAAGTTTGATATTGAAAAGAGCAAGACATCAACTTAGTCACAGTTAATTCTAGAAAAAACATCAAAAGTGAAAGTCATGTCCGATGGTGAATTGTCTGTCTCTTTGTCATGAATCTACAGAACAAACGAAACTCAAATCAGATATGTATAGCTTAAGAAATAAAAAATTTTATTGAAAAAATATCGAAATAGTCAGCAGCAGGTTAGAAACAAACATCGCTATTGAAACTTGCACGAGCCATAACTTTTGACTCGGTTATCAAAATCACCATTATAAGAGATTTTAGAAGAGCTCTCGATCTGATCTATTAACTTTGATGATTGGAGAGACACATAGATGATTACATTTATATGGTGAGAACTTAACCATTGATGGTGGTAACTTGACCATTAGTAGTGAAGTACAACAATTTATAGTTGATTGCTAGATTTGCTATTTTTAATTTGTTGTGAACTCAATCTTGGTTGTTCATTGCTAGAGGCATATATGTTCTTTCCTCATGATTTTCAGAGATGTTCCTCACATAATTGAGAGAGAAAAAGAATGAGGAAGATAGAGAGAACTATGTTTTCAACATAGGTGATTAATCTTTCTTGGGCTTTTCAGAGAGCATCTTTGACTTTGTTCTTCATCATCTAGTCGTTAACCTTCGAGGAGTGCTGCCATTGGACTTCTTCTTAGAGTTTTGGTGTTATCATTAAGGAGAACAGTTTGCAAAATCAAAGGGCAATAAGATTTTAGTTGTGCTTATTAAAATCGTTTTATGGTGTACTAAAGCTAGGATGATTTGAGGGTTTACAACGAACTCAAGCTGGGTTAATGGAGTATTTGGTCACTAGCTATGGCTAGAGAGGCTCATGCGTGAAAATTTAGGATTGTTTATTATTTTTCTTATTTTTATTTTTATTCCATTACATGTTATGCGATATCTCAAAAAATAGCAGGCAATCCTATTTAACCACTTTAGGTTTGCATCTCAAATCCGACGAACTTATGGGCTATTTATCATTGAGTTATTTGCACTTAAATATCTCACAGTTTACATCATTTTTAACTTTGATATTCCAATTTTTGCTAAAAAACCGACACCTGGGAAAAAAAAATTAACGATATCACCACTAAAGTTATTTTAAGGTGTCAATTTAAACTCTTAAAACTTTGTTTGGGGGATTTTTTTTGGGGGGTATCATCAAGGTTAAAATTGTTGTAGGAAACTCGAGGGTGTTCAGATGAGCAATTGAACCCTTCATCATCATTAAATAACCTCAGGTGAGAGAGGAGAAAAATAAAAAATAAAAAAAAGCCCGCGGCACGCACGTGCTTTCGTCAACTACCGAGAACTCCCAACCAGCTCTCATTCTCAAACTCTCTCAATAGTAAGAGAAGTCTCATCACTCCTCGGATCCGGCATGGCTCCTCCCACGCCCGCCGCCGCCCAGCGCTCTCCATCTCCCTCTCAACCATCGGGGTAAGTCTTCTCTCTCCCCTCCCCCCTCAAAACCCTAACCCTAACCCTAACGCTAACCTCGCTAACCCTAATTCCCCTTCATTCGCAGCAAATCCGAGGTCACCGATCTCAAGCTCCAGCTCCGGCAGCTGGCCGGAAGCCGCGCTCCCGGATCGGACGACTCTAAGAGAGATCTCTTCAAGAAGGTGATCTCGTACATGACGATCGGGATTGACGTCTCCTCGGCGTTCAGCGAGATGGTGATGTGCTCGGCGACCTCGGACATTGTCCTCAAGAAGATGTGCTACCTTTATGTCGGGAATTATGCGAGGGGAAACCCTGATCTCGCTCTCTTGACCATCAATTTCTTGCAGAAGGATTGCAGGTACGGCATTGCACGAGGATGTGTGTTCACGATTTCTCTGCTTGACCGGCTAAAATTTCTTCTTATGTCTTCAAAATCTAGTGACCTATGCCGTTTGGTGTATTTTTTTGCTCAGTGCTGTAGAATTGGGAATGTAAGTTAGCAAATATCTAGATTTGGGATCAAATTTGCAAGTGTGAAGATGTCTTCATGTTTGTTTTGTTTAAAATCTTTGAATCCACATTCGAATATCCTTCTTTGAATTTCTTCAAATTCGGACCCTTTCTTTGGGATAGTGGAGAGATCATTTTTTTTCCTTTCTCAAACAGAAGATACAAAAACAAGCCGGACAATACCCAGACCGTAAACATATGCTACCTAAAAATTAAAACTAATTGCACAAAAGAATTCCAGCTTCCCCAGGCGTGCAAAACAATTTTTCCAGTCATACAAAACAACCTTACAATGAAGGACAAAAATCAAATATCAGCAACTTCACTACTCCGACATACATCTGAAACGACGACTTTTATTTACACTGTTAAACTAAAATACCTCAGCAAAAATTACCCACCAGGTTCTTCATCACTTAGAACAGAACAAGTGAGAAAAATTCCATTAATCCCAAATCCAAAACACATACCATAGTGCTTCTGAGATTCCTTCAATGAAAAAATATTGAAATTCCTCAAATGAAGATAAACCCAAATTTGAGCATAGCTGTAGACTTAGTTTTAGGTAATCCAACAATGAATTAAGGAGATACTTTTAATTGGTTAAATACTTTCATTCTTCTAAAGAACTTGGTTTTAAAATAGAATGTAAGTTCATAGCTGAAATTATTCCTTGATAGGTATGATGTATAAATTTGTAATCTGTTATGCTCTTTAAGTCTCTCAAAATTAGTATAAAACTTAAAATGAATGTATGTGAATCTAAAGCGTAACATCATGTGTGTAGTACTACAAGATATAAGAGATAAATTTTAAATGAATATTGGATAAGATGACAAATCAAATGTACATCTTGTTAAATTTTTTTGTCTATGGACCGAATAGTAAAAATTATTTGTTTATTGATAAATGAATTACCAACCAAATTTAATCGATATTTAGATGAATAATTTGCAAAACCATTTGTTAATTGTTTGATTTGTTTCCACCCATAATTGCAGGGATGAGGATCCGATGATTAGGGGTTTGGCCCTGAGGAGTTTGTGTACATTGAGGGTGGAGAATCTGGTGGAGTACTTGGTGGGCCCTCTAGTGGCGGGTTTGAAGGATAGGAGTGGGTATGTGAGGATGGTGGCAGCAATTGGGGTCATGAAGCTGTATCACATCTCGCCACAGACATGCTTGGACTCAGACTTTCCAGCTATGTTGAAGGCCTTAATGCTTAATGATCCTGATGCTCAGGTAAAAGTAATCTTGGTTGTGTTTGGTTAATAGGAGAGAATGATGAAAAGTGACTGTTCTGATTGGGAATGTCAGGAAAGCTGTCATTTTTAAGCTGAATATAGTATTTTGGAATTTAAGTTGGCTTAGTGTAGGTTATGATATGTGGATTAGGGTGCTTTAAGCATCCTGACTTAGATATTTAAGCTTTGTATGGTTAGCGGAAAATGAAAGGGAAAAAAGGTGAATTTTTGTAGGCAATTTTAGTAAGTTAGTCCCACTTTGAAATCAAGGCAACGTTGGGAGTGTAGTTTTATCTAGTGTAGGTTTTGAAATGTGGTTAGTTTTCTTAAACAGTCCCGGTGTCATGGATTTTAGTTGTATTTGGTTAATTGAAAGTGAAAAGGAAAAATTTAAAGCTTTGACAGGGAATTGTAGCATCTCCGTGTTAAAGTCGAATGCAACATTAGGAGAATAATGGATTGTAATTTTGCATAGTGTTATTATTGGAATTTGAATTAGTTTACTTTAGGATAGCAATCACGGTGCCCCAAGTGGATTCACAATGCATGTGTTAGTGGATCTGAGTTTGCATTGAGTACAACAGGAAAAAGATGGAGTTTCAGGAGTTCAGATTTGTGGAAGAAATGTTAGATAATGTATTTGTCGGATATAGTTGTATTTGGATTCATACTGTTTCTTCTGCCAGGTGGTTGCGAATTGTTTGACAGCTTTGTCGGAGATATGGAACTTGGAGGCTGGTTCTGACGATGCATCCAGGGGAAGAGAAGCTCTGCTAAGCAAGCCTGTAGTGTACTATCTCCTTAATAGGTAAGACCTCGATGTTATTCTAGGTGATAGATAGCATATACTTAATGGAACTAAAATAGACTCCATGCTTTTTTATCTTTTCTTTTGCTAAATGCTAATCATTGATATTTTAACTTTATGCACAATTTGATCTATATATAAATTTTAGGGACTCCAAAAGGATTTGATAGTAAAATATGCGTTCCTGAAGACTTCCTAGGAAAAAGACCTTTTCCTGCCCCAATTTCTTTGGACATCCAAAATATGCAGTAACAGAGAAGAAGAAAGAAAGCTAGAAAATATCACGTCACTCTTTTAGAATTTGAAGCTGAAATATAGTATGAAGTATAAACTGTTCTGCCTGTTTTTGGGCACCCGTCACTGCAAAATAATATTTCTAGCAACTATCTTTTCTTCAAATCAATGCATGTATACATAGACATGTACGTTGAAAACACACAATATGTATGGATGCTTCTATATGTGTACGTGTCTGTTACTGTTTGTGATATGAAGAGCTTGATTGTGTTGTGCATAATCGTATTATGTGCTGTGTTATACCCAAGCGAACAGTATATAAACACGTTACAACTTTTTTTTATATTATATTCTCTCGTACTTGTAAACAGAAGAACCTCCTGGAAGCTGTAAAATTATAACCTATAGTAATTGTTACATAATAAACAGTCAAAAGTTATGTTCAAATGCAATCAATTAAAGTTGTATATATGTCAAGTCAGGTTGGCGATTCCTGGATCTGTTCAGGTTGCATTTCTATCTATCTTACATTTAGTCCCTTTTTTGTGTCTATGGCATATTATGGGTTTACTAAACTAAATAAAATATTATTGGATTGAACAGGTCGTTTATGCCAATTGCACCTTTTTTCTTCTTACAACAAAAAGGGTAGTGCATCATATCATTTTATTATTAGCTTCTTCAGGTTTACATTAATGTTTTCTTTTTGGTTATAAACTTTGACTTGATGTCATGTATAATTCACTTCAGCCATGCTGTGTTCTTCAGCTGTCAATTTCTACTAAAACATCCAAACTTTATTATTTCAATTTACAGGATAAAGGATTTCAGTGAATGGGCACAATGTCTTGTACTCGAGTTAGCATCTAAATATATTCCCATAGATAACAATGAGATATTTGACATAATGAATCTACTCGAGGATAGACTTCAACATGCTAATGGTGCAGTTGTTTTGGCCACAATCAAGGTGTTTCTGCATTTGACAATGTCCATGACTGATGTTCATCAACAGGTACCCATGAAATGTTCGGATGCTTATTTATTATTTTTTGGATAAAGCCTACCCATTTTGCGGGAAAAATGATTATCATTGTATAACTAAGAGTTATGGTGATATATGTTTACTTAAATTTTTGGCTATAAAATGCAATTCATGTTTTGGAACTGTTTCCTCCCCTAAGTTAATGTGATCCTTTCAATGGAACTCGTATGAAACAGAGCTTGATAAACTCGTCCAGTTTTGCTTTTGTGTAACAGTGTTTTCATTATGCAAATAACTTAATTTATATTTGAAGACTTTGAGTACCAAGAACTTTGATGAACTTGCCGAGTTTTACTTTTGACATTGGTAGTTTTTTCATTATTCAAATGACATAATTTATATTCTGAAATAGCATAATTTATATTCTGTAACTTCAATTATCAAAACATATGTTTGATCTATGATTATCTGTCATCTGTGATCTTTAACTTTTAATTGGTATTCTCCTTATTCCTATCTGTATGCTTGTCAGTTTTACATCCTTTTCCACGTAAGTTAACTGCTAACCTTTTCAAACTTAATGGTGAGCATCACAAAATCATATTCTTCTATTGTCATTGGTTGAGTATTCTTGCTATTCGTTTTGGTTACCTTTCAACAATACCCGCCTCCTACCACCCCCACCATCTTTTTTTAGAATACAAATGTTTGTTCATTTGTTTTGTTTGTTTTGGTTACCTTTTAAACAAAACCCATCTCCTACCACCCCCACCATCTTTTTTTTGTGCGTGCGTGCGTGTGTGGAGGGGGTCGGGATGGGTTGGAGGAGGTTTTTTTATTTTTATTTTTATTTTTATTTGGGGGGGGTGGGGGGGGGGGTGTTGAGGATGGATATTTGATGCTGTGCAATCGGGAGAAAAGGGAACATGTATTGAATTGAAGAAACTAGTTAGGATTTTATCTTTTCGGATGTTTTAGATAGAATATTTAGTTTTATCTATTAGGATGGTTATCTAATTTTGATTTTCAAATTTACAACTTCAGCTTTTATTTGTTTTTATTTTTTACAATCCTCATTTCTTTCCTTCATCAGATTAGAGTGT